GGGGGGGTTGGGGAGAGGTGGAGGCAGGGGGGGACATTGCCCTGCACAAAGCAGGCTTTGTTCTACATGGTGCCCGGAAGGGTTGAGGTAAAGAACCCCAGGCTGCCAGCCCTGATCCTGCCTCTCCCCCACGGGGTGAGAAGCCGCAGGAAGCCCTGGGGTATACCCCAAGCACCACAGAGCCACTGCGGCCCTGTCCCCAGGAAATGTGCCAGGCCAGGGAACGGCCAGGCGACAGTACCGGGGCTGCAGTCGGATCGCAGCTGGCACTGCTCATGTCCCCTCTGCACCCCACTATTGTTTCCATGGTGGTAGTTCCGCAGGCTTCTCACCGTGCCATCCTCCAGCAGGAGCCGCAGGACTTTGTCACCAGCTCCGTAGTCCCTGGCTATCTCGGCAGACTTCCATACTTCTTCAGGATCCGGAATCCAAACCCTGTTGTACTGAGAGATGAGACAGACTTCGTTCCCGCCTTTCAACGCTGGCTGCGCACAGGAAGGTTTCCCCCATTAGGGTTGCTTCGGCCTGCTTTCCACCCACGAGGTCATTCTTTACTGTCTGTATATGCCATGGGCCAACAACTTTTTGTTCTGGGCATTTATTTCTTTATTATTTATTAATTTATTGTTGGTCGTGGGGCTTGAACTCTGGGCCTGGGCACTGTCCCTCAGCTCTTCAGCTCAAGGTAAGTGCTCTACTACTAGAGCCACAGTGCCACTTCAGGTTTTCTGGTGGTTGGAGATAAGAGTCTCATGGATTTTTCTGCCCGGGCTGGCTTTGAACCGTGATCCTCAGATCTCAGCCTCATGAGTAGCTAGACTTACAGGTGTAAACCATGGGTACTTGGTGCTCTGGTTATTTTTTATTTAAGGCTCCCCCAAGTCAGCATGAACTGCAGTTCCATTTATGCTCATGTGGCTGGTATGAAAGTGTTATCTAGTAAGATTGTGGGGGGAGAGGTGGTATCTCATGCACTTTTTGCCTGGGTTGGCTTGGAACTTTGATCCTCCCAATCTAAGCCTTCTGTAGCTATGACAGGTATGAGCAACTGTACCTGGCTGACTGAGACAGTGAGAGAGACAGAGAGAGGGGGAGGAATGGAGGGAAGGAAGGAGAAAATAAAGGAGAGAGAAGATGAGGAAGAGGAAGAGAAGGAAAGCAAGGGGAAAAAGAGAGGGAGGGGGAGGGGAAGAATGATGAGAAAGGGGAGAGGGAGGGTGAACGGAAGAAAGACTTACCAGCCAATGACACATTCTTCAGTACAGATACTGGAGTGGACAGAACCTCCCAAATATAAACACACTCTGAGACACAGCCGCACCCGCCACTCCCACACATATCCTGGTTGCTATAGGCTGCATGCTCCCTATCTCTATCTATTAAAAATGTTTACTAGGTATCAGCAGCTCACGCCTGTAATCCTAGCTATTCAAGAGGCTGAGATATGAGGGCTGCATTTTGAAGCCAGCCCAGGCTGGAAAAGTCTGAGACTTATTTCCAGTTAAGCACTAACAAAGCCAGAAGGGGAGCTGTAGCTCAAGTGGTAGAGTACTAACCAGCCTTGAGCACAAAAGAGCGCCTAGGCCCTTAATTCAAGCCTCTGGACCTGCACAAAAAGAAAAAAAAAAGTTTACTGAGGCTGGGTACTGGTAGCTCATGCCCGTCATCCTAGCTAGTCAGGAGGCTGAGACCAAAGGACTATGGTTCAAAGCCAGCTCAGGCAGAAAAAAAAATCTGTAAGACTTCCATCACTGGTGAACTTGCAAAAAGCCAGGTTGGAAGTATGGAGCGAGGAAGTGGTGACACAAACTCAAGAACCTGAGTTCAAATTCTGTATCAGCAAGGGGGAAAAAAGTTTATTAATAACCCCATGAAGCTCAAATACTTAAAATAGAAGGGTCCAGGATAACATTTCAGAGCTGAAAAGCTCCCTGAAGATGACCCCTTCCAGATGCAGAGAGCCAACTTCAACCAAAATGGTGGCATTCTATCACGTCACAGGGGTAGAAATGGAGGGGTGCGGCTGGGCCCCAGCCCTGAGAGGTCATGTCAAGTCCCCGGGCCAATCAGTGTCCTGTGTTTCACTGATGTCTCAAGGCCAGAGAGGGCCGGAGCTCACCACACGCCACACCGCAAATCTCAAAGGACCAGAATGCCACTTGGCTCCATGCCTGTGACTTCAGGGTCGCGTTTGTTCGTCGAGGCTGGACCTCAGGGTCAACCTGAGCTCCACAAGCTGCCAGGCATTTAGGGCGCTGCAGCCGGGCCCAAGCCTGGTAAGTCAATAACACAAGTTGACTCAGCTCCACGGATGGGCCGCTGATTCAGGCCTCCCTTCTCCATCGACGCTGCAGCATTGGGACAAATAATGGGAGCAGTTCTCGGGGCGGCTCAGGGTGGAAGCTTCCTGTGAGGCAGAACCTTCCACAGCGGGGGACCAAGAACAGATGAGGCCACGCTGTCCCAGCCTCGGCCAGTCCTCCCAGAGTACTTGGGAGCCAGGCTGAAGGCTCAGGGCCACTGAAGCCTAGAACTTTCCAGAACTTCCCAGCCTCCAGCACACGTGCTGCCCATCTGTCTCAAGGGGACTTTGGGCATGGGGCCAGGAAATGGCTCTGGAGGGTGTTTTCCTTTCTGGACAGGAAAGAAGTCTATAGGGGTCTACCAGTCCAAATTGGGGAAGGAAGGGGTACATTGTGTCTGTCTTCTCTTCTTCACTTGTCTCCTAAGGTCCTTCATGACAGGCTGCTTCTAGAAAGTTCCATCCACACCCTTTCACACACACACACATTTGCAACTCTGAGACCCAAGCCTGGATCTCACAATGGAAGTCTGGGCCACACCTCCAGGGTGGTCTCCCACGTTCCAATCCCCATCTCTAGTGGTCACCTGAGCCTGCTCTTGGCCCTCATGTTGGAAACCTGGGCCCACACTGGGTGCCCACGCCTGTCAAGCTGGCTACTCAGGAGGCTGAGATGTGAGGATCACGGTTCAAAGCCAGCCTGGGCAGGAAAAGTCCATGAGACTCTTATCTCCAATGAACCACCAGAAAACTGGAAGTGGCGCTGTGGCTCAAGTGGTAGAGTGCTCACGTTGAGCTGAAAAGCTGAGGGACAGCGCCCAGGCCCAGAGTTCAAGCCCCATGACCGTCAAAAAAATCTGGGAGGAGTGCTGGCTCAAGTGGTAGAGTACCATTCTCTTGAGCAAAAAAGGTAAGGGACAGTGGTCAGGCCCTGAGTTCAAAGCTCCGGTACTGGCATACACACAAACAATAACTCATCAATGTTCACTGATTTCATGTCCATAGCTCACTCTGAGCAGGACGATTCACTCACACACACCCTCTTCAGTCCCTGCTGCTGTGCCCTGTTGTCCAGAAGCTCCTTGCCCAGTAGGGAACAGAGTTAACAGGGGGCCAGGACGGAAGGTCAGGCCCTGCTTAAAATGGATGGGAAAGGTGGGAAGCAAGTGGTGAGCCAAGCAATCAAGGGACCGACCAAGCAACCCAGTTGGGAAACAACAGGAAGTCTGGCAGAGCGTGACTTGGCCATGAGTGGCATGGCAGGGACTGGGGCAGGACACAGTGAAGTGGGTCCTCACGGCTGGGCACGGTTACTGGAAGGTGACCAGATCCTCCAGAGGGCTTCAAGTAGGCAATGGCCAGACCGGTTTTCTTTCTTTTTTCTCGGCAAGATTTCAAACTATACAATGGCTGCTCAGAGCACCGAGGCTCACTGCCAAGGGGCTTCTGCAAAGACCTGGGTAATTTTAAACCTTCCCTGCAGCAGCAAATGGGCTCTGGCCATGGATCCTAAGTCCCCTCTTTCCTCTTGGAACCTCTCTTATGTGGCTCCCCAGGCCAGCACCCCTGTGTGTTTCTTGAACCCTGACCACACATAGGCTGGAGTCTTTTCCTTCTAGCTCTGTTCATCTTCCACAGCCACCTGGAGAAGAGTTTCTCCTGGACTTGGAAGGTGGCTCAGTGGTAGAGTGCTTGCCTGGCATGCATGAAGCCCTGGGTTCGATTCCTCAGTACTACATCCACAGAAAACACAGGAAGTGGCGCTGTGGCTAGCCTTGAGCAAAAGGAGCTCAGGGACAGTGCCCAGGCCCTGAGTTCAAGCCCCAGGACTAGCAGGGAAAAAAAGAAAACGAGCATCTCCTAGCAATGCCCCCTGGGGGCTCCCCATCTTAAGGGCTCCCCAATATGTCAACACCCCAGCTAGACTTCCCTTGGGATGATTTCCTCCTTCTGAGGTCCCTAAGGCTGACCACGGCACACCCAGGTCTCTGCCACTAATATGATGTCATCTCTCCTTTCCAGCTGCCTCCACCCTCCACATCCTGGCCCTTGGGAGGGCCTGGCAATTCACCAGTCACCTGACGGCTCTCTCCTCCGGTCACAAGGACACGGCTGTACCTGACTTCCTTAAACACCTCCCTCAATCCTGATCCTGCTGTTCCCTCTCAAAGCCTCTAAAGCCCATAGGCAACCACTCTCCTGCTCTTCTCAGCTGGGGCCCACCAAGGGCTTCCTGTAAGCCTCAGGATCGAAATCCTGGCACTTTTCTCACTTCTTGCCAATCACAGAACTCCAGTGTAGACTTGCTATGGATTTTTAATCTCTGAGCTTCCCCCAAGTACAGGGCTGTGAGTGTAGAGAGGGTTGTGGGCAGTGTGTCTTCAACACTAATGCAGGAAGGGAAATTAGACAGGCCCAGGCAGGGGGCAGAGAGATAAAGGGGTGGTGGTGAGTGGTACCCTTGAGTCCATGGGGGAACTAACTGCCAGTGGGGACTCCAGAACAGCCCACCTGTCACCCTGAAGCAGGGTCACTGTTGGTCTCTGGATACAGAGTGGGGTGTCAGGTTGTTCCAATGCATTGATTGTATGGAAAGCATACCACTGATGGCTCAGTGCGGCCCAGGGTGCCAGGCACACAACACTGACTCAGGATATGCGCATGTGCTGGCAGCCTACAAGTCAGCTAGATAGTGAGAGGTCAGCCATCTTGTTGTCTTCTTTCTCTGGGGTTCTCATGCTCTTTTCCATCCAAGAGTGTCTCCGTGTAACTCTACCACCTTAGCTTTCCTATGTTGGGCTTGGGACTCAGTATTTAATAAATATTTGAGGTTTGAGGCTCTTGAAGACAGAGGAGCTCACACCTGTACATTTTGCTTCAGGGGGAAAAAAAAAGTTGTTCTTTAAAAATAGGTTAATCATTGACAGTTTTATCTGTCTACAAATAGTAACTTCAAGGAATAGTTTGTTTTGTTTTGGATGGTACTGGGGATTGTACTCAGGGCCTTGTGTTAGACAAGAGCTCCACCACTTGAGCCACACCTCCTGCAATTTATTATTTTTTGGGGGGTTTGTGTGCCAATCCTGGGGCTTAAACTCAAAGCCTGGGTCCTGTCCCTTCCTTGAGCTTTGTTGCTCAAGGCTAGTACTCTACCACTTGAGCCACAACTCTACTTTTGACTTTTTTTGGTGCTTAATTGAAGATAAGTCTCAAGGACTTTCCTGCCTAGGCTGGATTTGAACCACAATCCTCAGATCTCAGTCTCCTGAGCAGTAGGATTACAGGTATGCGCCATTGGCTCCCAGACCCATTTCTTTTTTTCTTTTCTTCCTCTGTCTGCCAATAGAGTCTGGTTACCTTTTGCCCAGGCAGGCTTTGGACTGGGATCCTCTTATCTTCACCTCCCAAGTAGCTGGGATTACAGGTGTGTACTACCATACCCAGCATGAAGGATAGTTTTGTTCAGGAATTTTCTTCTAATAATAGTAATGTGAGGATTTGAGAAGCACTGTTGGCAAAAAATATTCTAGAGCAAAAAGAGGGCAGTTTCCCCCTCTAATCCTAGGTACTGATGAACCTTAGCTCTGAAGATCTTGGTTTGAAGCCAACCCAGGCAGACAAATCAAAAAGAACTTTTACCTCTAGTTAACAACCAAAAATCTAGAAGTGGAGCTGTGGCCCAAGTGCTAAAGCTCTAGCCTTGAGCAAAAAAGCCAAATGAGAGGAGGTGGCCCTAGTTCAAGCCCTAGAATTGGCATAAACAAAGAGCAATTCAAACACTGGACAGTGTTAGGATTCTAGCTGAGATTTTTAATGCATTAGAGAGAAAACTCTGTTCTCTTTGGATTGCATTTATAATATTATTAGTCAAGCAAAATAGAAGAAAAAGTTTGCTTAAGCCATTGAAGAGTTTTATAGCAATCTTTTACAGTGGACTGTAGCTAAAAGGACTTTGAAAATTTATAAAATTAGGCTGGTGAGGTTAGAGTGGTAGAGCACCTGCTTAACAAGAGTGAAGCCCTGAGTTTAAACCCCAGTACAATAATAATATATACATTATAATTATAATTATTAAGAGATCAGGTATGTGTGAGGGAAAAATGAATGGATTCTAGTCTTCCCCACATAAATTGGGAGACAGCAAGTTTTCGACATATGGGTGTAAGGGCTTTTATGACAATCTCCCTCCAATTATTTTGCCAAAAGCACCAACACTTCCACACACATTACCCCAGTCACACCAAGCTCATCTTACAGGGAGCCGGGTGGGGAGAGCACCCCATCCTACGTCAGGGCTGGAACTCTAGGCTTCAGAGGAACACTCGCTCAGGGGTGTCCTCCTGTCAGAGACACCACACAAAGTCAGTATCCCTCTTGGCTCCTGAGGGGCCCTCAACCTCCAGGGAGGGGTGTGAGGCCCTGGCAGCTGCACGCTCTGCCTCTGTCATCCCAGGAAACTCGACCCAGGAACTTGACCAGAATCTCCAGGACTTCATGTTCTAGAAAACAATGATTTATACCAGGGCCCAGTTTTTTTTTTCTAGGGGCGCATGAGGATTGGGTAGATTACAGACCCTGTGGGTGTTGGGGGTATGGTGGTGGTGTGGCTGATGGTAGTAGTGGCAAGTGCAGTAGTGGTCTGTCTGGTGGTGGCAGCAGGTGCCGTGGTAATGGTGGTGATGGCTGTGGTGGTGACAGGCAGGTCTGGCTGTAGCAGCAGTGGGTGTGGTTGTGATGGGGGGAGGGGGGCCGGTGGGAGGGGGGCGGGAGAGAATGGTGGAGAGAAGGGTCTGGTGGTGGGGGGGGGGGGGGGGCCGGTGGGAGGGGGGTCTGGGTGGTGGTGGCGGCGAAGGGTCTGGTGGTGGTGATGAGTTTGGTGTGGTGGTGGTGGTGGATGTCGTGTGGTGTGGTTGAGGTGGGAAGGCCCAAGTGTGTCAGGCCCGGGGGATTGGGGCCACCTGAGCGCACGCAGGACCTCTGGGCCTGGAGGAGCCCCCCCAGGCGGCAGCCGCGCCCCGGCCTTCCTCCCCGGGTGGCCGAGCCCCGGGCGTCGCCCCCAGTCCCGCGCCAGGTGTCCGGGAGCGGCCCGGGCACCGGTCCCGTCAGCGTGGCGCGGAGCCAGCGTCCCCTCACCCACGCGCCCTCCTCGGGCCGGGGGGACCCCCTTACCTGTGTGTACAGCTCGGCCACCGCCATGGGCCAAGGACGCGGAGCCCGCGGACCGCAGAATCGGTCCGGTGCTCGCCGGGTCGCCGCCCGCCGCTGCCGCCGCCGCCCGCCCGGCTCCCAAGCCCAGAACTTTGTGTGGAGCCGACGCGCACTTTTCCCAGCGCCCGCGGCGAGGGGCGGGGGACGGAGACACCTGATTGGCTCAGGCGGCTGGAAGGCCGCGCTGTCATTGGCCGAGGCCGAGCGCTAAAGCTGGTCTACCTGGCGGGAGCCACGCCCGCCCTCAGAGGGCTGCAGGCCGCACGGGCTAGCTCCCAGGTAAGCCGCAGGTGTTCTGGAATGTATACCTGTAAGGGGTGGGGGGCGGGAAAGGGAGGGGAAGATTGCATTGCGGTTCTGGGCATATAACCACTACACTGAAAACCCACGGGAACCATTATGTCTAGCCACTCTCCATTTATATATATATATATACACACACACACTTATATATAAATGTTATTTATATATGACGTTATATATATTATATATATGATACTGTACAGAGGGGTTACAGTTACATGGCCACTCTCCATTTTTATTCATTCTTTTTTAAAATTTTTACTGTGCCAGTAACTTGGGTTTGAATTCAAGGTCTGGGGCGGTCCCTTAGCTTGTGTGTTCAAGGCTGGTGTTCTACCTCTTGAACTGCACCTTCCACTTGCAGCTTTTTGTGGTTGAGAAGTCCCACCGACTTTTTCGCGGGGGTTGGCTTCGAACCCCAATCCTCAGATCCTGAGCCTCCTGAATAGCTAGGATTACAGGTGTGAGTCCCTGGTGCCTTGCTAATATTTGAATAGTTCCCGTTTTTCTCATCTGTGCCAAGCATAACCTTGGAGCGCTTGCTCACATTTTTGCCTTGTGGCTCTCACTTCTACAAGTTGAATCAACTCAGGGTTTTCATGGGTTCTTCCAGCCAGTATCCTGTCCTTCAATTACCATCCATCCAACTTCTAGCAAGGTATCCCATTGTGCTTTCCAATATAGAGGGGGAACTTGCCAACTTTTAAATTGTTGGGACTGCTTAGGATAATATTGCGTGAAAAGGTTATATTTTGGTTCGCCACCAGTCTTCAGAAAAAACAATTGTTTTAAAATGTGATTTATTTGCAAGACACTGACAAACTCCTTTATAGTCATATTTTTATTTGAACAATGCTCAATAATAGCTAGGAGAATACAGCACTAATGACAGACATACTAAGCATAACGTTAGGCAGCTATAAATTTAGCGCAGAAAATGTCATTCTGATATTGTTTTGGTTTTCATTTTAGCATTAAGTGATACCTAGTGAAACCCCATGTTCCAAAGGCTTTTGTTGATATGAGGTGAATTACTTACATTCTAACAAATGTTCATAGGAGATATGCTTGAATGGGTGGTTTAAAACTAGAGTTTGTTGGTAATTCCTCTCACGTCTCAGAATTTCTGCTTCCTTTCCAATGGATGAGTATTTCACCTCAGAGTGGTTCAGAGATTTAAATATAGCATGTTTTCCTGGGAGAGTCAAAGAATCCTTTCTCCAGATCCAACAATGAAAAAGATTTTTTTGGGAAAAAAAACTGCAATGCCCAATTCTAATGTCCAATTTCAATCTAGTTCAAAGGGATGTCTGTTTCATAGCAAGTAAATAGTTAATAATCAAAATACAATGTTAAATGTCATGAGCTCATTTCTGTGCAAGATCATTAGAACAATTTCAATTTCTCAAAGATACAAAAAAGTCAAATTCCAGAATCCCACAAAAATACATAACTAGGTATCATAAATCACAATACATATCCACATTTAAATGAGGAGGGGGGGAGAAGCCATCAATCGATGGAAAAAATACTGACACCAGTGATTAAGAGAGGCTAAAGTGTAGGCTATAATTTTTATTACACATAGAAACAATAAAATAATTGAAACCATTGGCTCCACAGAATGCATGAAAATGTACCGACCTACCAGCATAAAATTATGTTTCAACTTTAAAAACAAAACATTTTCTGCATGTTTCAACTTTAAAAACAAAACATTTTCTTTCAAATATTTCCAGTAATATTACAACACTAAGAAATGTTAGTCATTTTCAAGCACTCTGAATCTAATAATGCCCATGAAGTTAAACTAACATATTTAGCTGGACCAAATTATAAAATGAAAATGTAAAAAATGCATTTTGAAAGTATTTAAAATAGTGCTTTTTTAGTTCATGACCTATTGAGAAATCTACTGTAATTCCAAGTTGATTTGTTAAATTTAGGGTAGTTCCATGGTTTAGAATTTATAGTTACTTTCTTCTATCAACTTTTTATATTGTAACATAACATTCTTAAATGGCTTTTAAAGGGAAAGATTTAGAGTTGTACCTTTTACTTTTATTGAGAAGAAATTAGTGAAAAACAAGACATTCAAGCATTATGAACACTAACTCATTTCCATACTTCTAGATACACTCATGTCCTTACTTGTTACCCAGACATACTAACCCAGAACTTCTCCAAGTCAACAGAGCCAGTGGACTCTAAGAGACTGTTGCTGTCCAGAATCCAAATCTGTTTGGAAATGACAGAAAGCAAAGGAAGGAGAAAGCAACAGTTGGGGGGGGAGGAGGAGGAGAGGAGATGATGTAGGAAGAGGAGAAAGGAATTCATAGTTGGAAGCCACACTCAATCTAAATCTTCACAAAACCTTGAGAAAACAGAGCAATAGATCCCTTAGAGAGGACAAGTCTGGTGACCTTAAGGCAGCTCTAGGAGGGAAGGGAGCAAAAGGGTTAAGGCGGCCCTCACAGCACAGCCTGAGAACAGTTAACAATGCACTTCCATGAACATGGGCAACTCCAATACCAGAGCCTCTCTAATGCGCATGCACACACCACATCTCCTAGCTCCAGGCATACACTGACTTGTATATGGCCTGCCTGGTGAACAGCCCTCAGACAGCCTGCTGTCCTGGGCTCAGGGTGAAGGACTCACACTGGGGATTCTGGTGGCTGCAGACTTTGCAGCTCACTGGTGGCTCTAACAGGGACCCTGAAGGGCATGTGGAGAGCGACCTGCCTCTGCACTCCAGAGGCTGCCACTGCTTCCTGTCTCTCAGGTTCATCAAGAACACAACTAACAAGTCAATTCCTAAACCCAGAGTTCTGAACAGCCTCCCAGGCTGTCTGATTCACCATTAAAGTCAAACCTAGTTACAGCGGGTAACAAACAGTACAGAAAATCCCCCTGGCACTGGGCAACTTGAACCGAGTCCACTTGTTTAGTCCTATGTACCAAATGCCAACTCTGGTAAAAGAGCACCTCCTAGTGGTCCAGGACACCCATGGCACCAGAGACAGAACAGAACCTCAGGACTTGTCCAACGTTTAGTCCCCTGTCCACACCTGCTACTGCTCCACTTGAGACACAAGTGCTGGAGGCAAATCCCTGTCACTGCCTCAAGGAGCTGCTCTATGTTCTGGCCAGGCTGCTGTGAGGAGGACATGAGGTAACACAGGACGGGTGCCAGTGTGAAGCACATCCAGGCACAGGAACTGGCTCTGCAGTACTGCCATCGTCACTAAATTTGGCTCTCTGATTTATCCCAAGTAGACAGCATTGCCCAGGGGACCTTTGATTGACCTCCAAGGAACACTGTGAAATTGGTAACTTTGTGTGTGTGTGTGTGTGAGAGAGAGAGAGAGAGAGACAGAGAGAGAGAGAGACAGACAGACAGACAGAAAGACAGTCAGAGACACTGAGAGAGACAGACAGACAAGAGACAGAGACACAGAGAAAGGGAGGAAGAGAGAGAAAGGGAGGGAGGAAAAGAGGTAGGAAGAGAAAGGGGGGAGAGGAAGAGAGAAAGCATCCTAGGACAACTTCTCAGGATGGTGGCTGGTCCCCTTTTCCCTAGGTTTATCAGAAAAGCAATTTCTCACCCCAATAATGACACTGAAACTCAAAAGTATTTTTCACAGCCTCTGGGATTATGTTCCTAAAGGCTTGATCTACATTATACATAATTACTCCCCGATAAAGAGTCCATCTCAATTTATCCATTGAAATGGCAGAATAGTAAAGAAAACCAGCAACACGGCCAGGAAGCCCCCTTCTCCCATCAGATAAGATGGCTTTGGAAATTTCTGTACTCCTGAACCACAAAGTTGGGTCAGGTACATGGGAGATTTTCAAAACTTCCAAAAGTCACTTTGTAGCTTTGATTCTAGAGTTATTCCCTCTTAGGGGAAGATCTGCTCTAAGGAAGATTGAAGGCTTGGCCTAAGAAAAACAGAGGGAAGGAAAATTCCTTTGGCCTTTTCATTTTGCATTCCTAGAATAAGAGTTGAGCCTGTGGTGAAGGCGAATGGGTAGAGACTATTGGAAGAGGGTTATCAAAGAACTGTTGGAGTTGGCCCTGGTGGCTCAAGCCTATAATCCTAGGTACTCAGGAGGCTGAGATTATGAAGATCATGGTTTGAAGCCAGCTGAGGCAGAAAAGTCTGAGAGATCTGATCTCCAACTAACTAGCAAAAATGCCTAACTGGAGGTGTGGCTCAAGTGGTAGAGTACCAGCTAAAAGCAAGCAAGACAAGTCAGAGCAAGAGGCCCTGGTTCAAGTTCAAGCCCTGGAACAAGAAACAGAGAAAAAGAACAACTGCTTCCAAGACCTCTTCTTGTGAATTCCCAGTGTATGTCATAGAGAATTACGAACAATCCAATTAGTGATAAAAGTTGAAGAATGTACTGAGGAGAACTGAGAGCAGCAGGGACTTTGCAAAGACTGGCTGGAAGGCAAGCCCCCAGGCAGCCAATGGGGCAACTGGAAACCGAGGCCATCTACCTTCCCTCCATGATCTTCAGTGCACACACTACACAGGCAAGCCAACAGGAGACAGGTACAAGATTAGGTTGAGGGAATCAGACGGTGAGAGAGCAAGAGAGAGAGGGAAAGAAGACAAATCCTCAAACTAGCCCACAGGATACTCGCTTGGCAGAATATTGGTCTAACTTCAACAGAATAGCTTCCAGATTCATTTACCAGGCGGCCTGAGGCTCCCTGGTGGAAAGATGTTCTTGCAAGAGCAAACCAGAGACGTTCATCCAGATCTCTATCCTAGGGTTCTGGGGAGGCCTCAAAGCAGGAACCCTGGGGTTGCAGGAACTGTGTGGCACTATCACTGGAACAAGGAGAACGAGGGGTGAGGGGAGGAGGAGGGTTGAGAGCTCTGGCCAGGGTACTGAACATGGCTCCAGTTCTCTCCAGAACAGAAAGATAGAAGGAAGGAGAGAAGGTTCCAGAACACAGAAACTTTTGGACATGTGTCCAGAGTAAGACAGTGGGTACTGTGGTGTGACCCTGAAGACTGCACAATTTCCAGGGTGTGTGTGGGATATGCTAGCCAGGACTGCAGTGGTCAGCCTACACCCTGGATTTATTAGCAACATCCTGTCCATGTCCTGTGGACACAGACTCGGGGATATTGAGTACTAATGAAATGGTTTTAAGCATTAACTACTCTTGGAAGCCACACTGATCACCAGGGACAACCGAGAGAATTAGACTATTAGTGTTTTGGGTTGATCCTGTACATAATGAAATGTATTACAATGAAACATATGGCTAGGGGTATAGTGCAGGTAGGTAGAGCATTTATTTGCCTAGCATGAAGTCCTGGGTTTGATCCCCAGCACTGGAGAAAAACAAAAAACTCCACCAAAACAATAAATCAGTACAAGATGTAAGAAAAATTACTTAAACTGATTCATTTTCAAATAACACAGGTATAGTAAGACTTTCTAAAAGCATGTGCATATATTGAAGAAAGGTGGTAACATAAATGTGTGATTTTACATTCTATTAGGTAATAAAATGAACTGATATGCTTTCCACACTGGTCTTCCCAACAAAGGATAGAATAGTGAGGACTCTTCTCTAGGAGCCAAGAGTTGAAAGGAGAAAATTTCAGACCTTAGGATAGACCTTAGGAATCAGTGGTTCAAGCTGGACACTGGTTGCTCATGCTTGTATTCCTAGCTACTGAGGAGGCTGAGGATTTGACTGAAGCCAGCTTAGACAAGGAAATCTCCAATTAACCACACACACACACACACACACACACACACACACACACACACACACACACACACACACACGCTGAAAGTTAGAGGTGTGGCTCAAGTGGTGGAGCACCAGCCTTGAGCGAAAAAGCTAAGGGACAGTGCTCAGGCCCTGGATTCAAGCCTTAGTACCAGCATTTAAAAAAAAAGAAAAAAAAAAAAAGAATCAGTTGTTCAACTCTCATTTTGTAAACAAGGAAACTGAGGCTCAAATAAGTTAACAGACAGTATTCCTCTTTTAATAACAACATTTATCACTGATTTGAACCTGTTTGACTTCTATAAATAATATTGCACATATTTTAAGAAGATATGTCATATTTTGATAAACCATCTATGAGTTAAATTATATGTCTATTATTATAATTAAAATCAGTATCTACTGAAAGCTAAGGTTTTGCACAACCTGAAAGATTTCTTGTACAAGTTTTCTAGAAAAAAAATGAATAGATTTAATTAGAATTTCAGAATGAGACTTACAGAATCTGGGTCTTACTGATCCAAATCCTCTGTAAAATTCCACAATATTCTATTTCTTATATAACTCTTCCTAAGGTATTTCTAACATGATGTTTTTTTTTTAAATTAAAATATCTAGTGGCATCTGAGAACATTTCTAGAAGTTGTAAAGCCTCAAAAACCTGAATTTTAACTAAATATTTCTTATATACCTTCTTTTGCATAATTAATAGGATAATCAAAGTTTCGAGACCTGAATCATGAATAATCTGACAATCCTTTCTAGACAGCGACTGAGATTCATTTCTTAGTAAATGAAGAGGCAGAAAGAAAACCCGGCAAGGCTGGATATATGCACTGCGGGAATCAAAGTCTGGAAACAAAAAGGTAAGTCACTTTACAGAACACCGGTATCCTGATGCCACATCCACGCAGGGACAATGAACGGTGTAACACGTTGAATAAATAATGACGTCAACAACGGCCACTTTGTCTAATCCTACCCCTAAGTGTCAAGCATTTTGTCACACGTGTCCAGTGACGGCTACTTGTGCAGCTGAGTGTATAGATATTTGCATATAATCCAGTCAAAACCAATCTCACTGAATTGTAAACAGAGTCGATAAAAGAAGCTTATTGTTATAGTGCTCCATAGAAAGACCATTTACATGTTAATAAGTAGCAGCCAGTTAAGATGCTCTGTAAGCTACAGTACAAGTGGACGGACATCTATGCTATAGCAAACCATCATTCTTCCACTACCGGTCTATCACAAGTTACTTGACTGAGTCCACAGATTGCCAGTTGATTTTTTTGGATCCAGTTCAACCAGATCGAACATGATTGCTAAACTGCTAATGATATGTACTCAATGGCAACTTCCTTTTAGTTCTTCTGTTCAGCTCAGAGGAGGTTGGGGTTGGTACCTTCCTAGTAACAGTTCATATATATATATATATATGTGTGTGGAATTTACATAGGTCATACCACTTAAATGCAGTGGAAAATTCATGCTGGCAACTGGTGACCCATTATTTTTCCCCCCTCCTTGTCTTCCTTCCCTCATTCAGATGCAGTAAACTCGGTAAACTGAACGAGGATGAGGGATGCTTAATGAGAACACAGCACACATACAAAAAAAGCCTCTTTTCTTTCAAGTGACAGAAGCATTCTAGGGAGACTTCCAGTTAAATAACTCCTCATTTGAGAGATAATCAGTACTTCTCTTTAAAAATGTATTTTTTTTTTCAGTAGCTCACTGGGGAAACAAAAAAAAGAAATGGTTCAAGTCCAGACATTAAGAAATGTCTTGTCACTGTCTGCCTGGACATTGCTTTCAGACCCGTGCGATGAAGCCCAAGCCCAGGCTGGCGGGAATCTGGATAGTTTCTAGGGCAAGGGAAGATGGGTTAAAAGGAAAGGTGACAGGAAAGATGTGCTTAGCATCCATGAGCAGTTGAGGAGAGTCCTTCCTGTCTCGCAAACGCACCTGAGAAGATGGAGCAAAAAGATAAACAGGCATCAGTGCTTTGAATCTACAAAGGTTTTTCTTTTGGCTACCAAAATTCCTACCAATTCTTTCTACCACTTTTTTCCCTCATGAAACATGTTCATTTCTGTTTTAAAATCTCTTCATTAATTTGATCAGTAAACTATTATCCAAAAAAAAAATACAATGATCAAAAGAGTAGCAGAGCACCTATCTTGATGGAAGACAATATAATGAAAGAAAACTATATTATCAATAACATTGTGAAAGTTCCACTTAGAAGGTGGTTGTTGAATCAAAAGGAAAAAAACGCTCTTACCTGTATAGTACGAATGAATGATACAGACACTCTTTCTTCAAACTCATTAACTGGAGTGTACAAATTCAACACTTTGACAATCTGGAAGACATGAAATGATTCAAGGTTTTTTTTTGTTTGTTTGTTTTTTTTGATATACTAGAAAACACACTGAGCTGGGCTTTGGTGACTCATGCCTCTAATTCTAGCTATGCAAAAGGCTCCTATCTGAGGATCTTGGTTCAAACCCAGCCTCGGCAGAAAAGTCTGTGAGACTCTTATCTTCAATTACATTTAAAAAAAAAAAAAAAGGCAGAAGTAGAGTTGCGGCCTAAGTGGAGAGTGCTACGCCTTGAACAAAAAAACTCAAGGAAAGTACCAAGGCCCTGAGTTCAAGCCCCAGGACTGACACCAAAAGCAAAACAAAACAAAACAAAAAACAGGAAAGAAATCTCAGGAACCATTTTACTTACCAAAGACTATGACAATATCATAGATAATTTTATGGAGTCTAAGCTCCATGAGGATAGGGCGTTTTGTTCTGGATTGTATCCCAGTGTCTGGAACAGTTTTGCAGACTATTGTATATAGACACTTGGTATTGGCTTAAGGGTGACTAGAGATCCCTCCTTCCTTCCACATCTATCTGGACATACACCTTCTCTGTCTGGATGAAGTCAGCACAGAGGCGAAGGCAGCAATGTACTTGTCTAGGGGAGGTCTGACTGCCATTTTCCTCCCTCCCTGCCCAGGAAGCTGCTGTACCTGGGCAGTGGTTAGAGCATTACACATGGAGCAGATGGCTTCTGCATCATCATCTGTTTTCTTCTTCACTTGCAGAAGCTGAGCAGCCTGAATGAGAGGCTCTAGGGTCTCTTTGGCCCCGCTGTTCATCAGATTCTTGTCACGTAACCATTCCTCCAGTTGACTGACGTTGTACCTACACCGAAGGGGAAAGAGAGAGAAGAGAGAACAAGAGAGAAAATTTAAATTTACTGAATGCTGTCATAAATGTCTTTAATTGTGTGTGTGTGGCTTTGTCAATTAAAGTGACAGGCAATATTTCTGTTCAATTTTCTTACATCTAATCAGCTGTGCTTTAAAATTTAGCATTATCATCACGAGGTTTAGAATCATTATTATGTAAGATTTAAATGACAAGAGAAGATAATTGTCTCAAACAGAAAATGGAACAGAGTCAGCACAGGAAAAGTTACGAAACTTGCTAATGCAATAGAATATATAATGTAGTTCTGTCATCACTAGATGTTTGACCAGAAATTGCTTTCCTGACTCTCTTACAAGATAGCTTCCTTTTGCTGGGTGAGAGTCAATAATTCTCATGTACTCTCTCTTCCTTAAGGCAAACTCCCAACCAGATTCCCTATCAGATGCACCATACTCAAGCTTTCTTTTTTTTTGGTTCCAGTACTGAGTCAGGGCCTGGGTGCTCTCTCCCTTAGCTAGTTTACTAAAGGCTGATGTTCTACCACTTGAGCCACATCTCTACGTCTGGGTTTTTGGTGGTCAACTGGAGCTAAGTGTCTCAATAACCTGTCCAGATTGGTTTTGAACCACAATCTTCACATCTCAGTCTGATGAGTCGCTAGCACCTTGCTCTGCCAAAGTACATTTCTAAAAGCAATCAGGCACCAGTTTCTTCATTATAATTTAAATAGTTCTTATTGCGTGATGGAAAAATACATGATAGGAGAGGAAGTAGCTATGTTCTGTAGGGTTATATTATCTCTCCATTCCTTCGAACAAGTTGGCTTTGCAGGGGAGTGATGCTTCCAGTCACAGTGGGAAGGATCTGTTGACAGGCCCCACCCACCAGCAGTGTGACAGCCAGGCAAGGGGAAGCGGCTCCACAAACAGCTCTTCCCTTGCTGCTGGGCACCAATATGGAGGCACCACCTGGCAGGCTAGGTGGGCAGAGACCACAGGCTGTCCCGGCTCACCTGATCTGCATGCCTTTACTCCAGGAGCACATGTCTTTGCGCAGGAGGAGGTTGTTCAGGGTGACGGCCCCCACGATGTAGAACATTTGCTTGGCCACCTGCTTGATAAGTTCTGGGTCCATACCGTGCTGACACATGACTGAGTGGAAGGAGTTGAGCTGTCGGAGTATGGAGTCCAGTGTGTATGTGCCTTCATCAGCAATGCTGGAGGTTCGCTTCCTGAGTCCTGTGGGCTTCACCCCGGACACACCCTGAATCGTCTCATGCTCCAGCATGCCGGACACTGCAGGAGAATTTCAAGTGTCAGAAAAGATTTAGAGGAAAATGTCTCTGGTACACAGATATGTGTACACATACCCCACAGGCGCTCATGTGCATGCACAAGTGTACACACACACACACACACAGACACACACACACACACACACATAGAGGTGTGGGATTGGAAACCTTCATTATTTTAGGTTTCCCACAGCAGTTAGATTTTGGGCTTGCCTCAGTTTCCCAGGGGAGTATGCTCAGCTTCCCTTAGAAAGCTTCTGAGCTGGGTACAATCTTGGTTACTGAGGAGACAGATCTGAGGATTGTGGTTTGAAACCAGCCTGGGAAGGAAAGTATGTGAGACTCGTATCTCCAATTAACCACCAAAGTGCTGGAAGTGGAGAACACCGGCTGAAGCGTTAAAGAACCAGCCAGCCTTATGTGAAAAAGGTAAGTGACAGTGCCCAGGGCCTGAGTTCAAGCCCTCGTACCAGCACACACACGAAAAGAAAAGAACCCTTCTGAGATGTTCATTTCCTGCCTAGAGCCCTTCAGAAGCAAGGAACAAGTCCGGTTCTCCTTAATATCTCCTTGAACTAAACTCAACTCTTACAGATCTCATGTTGATTCCCAAACTTTGGTTAATGTTGCTCTTAAGTAACTGAGATGGAGGCAGTTCAGTGGTCAGCTTCTTGTTCAGCTAATAAAAACAGACCAAAGAAGAAGGAAGATGGGCTGAAGCTGCCCTTTGCTTCTGTGATACCTCCTATGCTTTGGATGATGGATTGCTTTCAATTCATGGCCTTTAGGGGACAAGTGGACAAATCATAGCCATCTCGAATGGCTTCTTAGTTTTTTATGCTTCCAGCTGGTCAACTGTGAGCCTATGAAAAATTGAAAACTAGAGGAAGCGAAGAAGTAGCAATGTGGAAAACATGGGAAGCTGGAGTAGCTTTACAAAACTGCTGATAATTTGCCTGAAGATAATGATGTCTGGTAACTTGAAAAAAATGACCATTTCCCACCATCAAAATTAGCAGCCTGCAATTCATACAAGGTCCCTAATTGCTATTTACTCATGCTACACATTCCATAGTTATAGAGCTAGTGTAAAATATGAATGAACACCTGAGTAAGCACACATAGAGAGGGCCAAGCAACCAATCACACACCTAGCTGAAGCTACCTAAATACAAACACACGGGCTGGGAAGTTGGCTCAGTAGTAGAGTGTTTGCCTCGCATGCATGAGACCCTGGGTTCAATTCCTCAGCACCACATAAGCAGAAAAAGCCGGAAGTGGTGCCGTGGCTCAAGTGGTAGAACTCTAGCCTTGAGCTGAAGAGGTGAGGGACAGTGCCCAGGCCCAGAGTTCAGGCCCCATGACCAACAACAACAACAAAAAACTGCAAACAGACACCTCAGCTACTCAGCCAATGAGAAGTCACTACCTTCAGTCAGATGGGCTGTAATATTTTCAGCAGGGAATGTCTGAGACACACTTGTTCTTGTTGGCATGGCGCTTCCCAGCCTTCTCACCATAGACTGTGAGGTAGTGTACAAGCCCTCTCCAGACTTTGGGGTTTTAGATGGGCCCCTGGGAAGCACTGGGGAGTAGTGCGCTAGTTTAAAGTTTAACGTGTTTTTGAAAATTGGGCCAGGAATAATGTCTGTTGCAGGGTATTAGACATAATCTGATCTTAAGAGAGAAGCATTAATTATTGGAACCCGATGCTACTCTTTCCAGAGTACAGAAGCAGTGATTTCTGTTGCATTTCAGGTACCATGGTTCGGATTCAGAGGTTACTCAGTTGATTTTCAGCCTGTATCTTACTATTTTATATTCTATGAAAATATACCCCAGGACATTTCCACAGTCCATTCATTCATGGATGGGTACATGAGATAGGCTATGGAGTTCACCAACACTCTAGCCTTACCGATCATTGGCTGAAGGATGTTTTCTAACACCCGCACCAGCTGTTGGTAAATCTGAATGGCCAAGTCACTCAGCACTTGCCGATACTCAGCCAGGTCAAAATTGGTGAGGCAGTGCTCATTCTGGCGAGATGTGTTATGCTTCATGAAGCCCTGAAGTCAAAAAGCGAAGATAAATGAAACAGGAAGTCAGGGGTCATTTCTATCTGGTTTGACAAACTCCAGCTTTCTGGAGCATCTTCATGTTCCTTTTCTTTCCCACCCAGGATCCATCTTCATCCCACCCCACCCTGCCCAGTCAGTGACATGAAAATCATTCCCACGTGCTGGTGTGTGTTAGCTTCTATCATGTCCCTTTTCTATTTACTTGCTTTTTTTTTTCCTTTTTTTGTGTTAAAAAAATACATTCTTTTTTTTTTTTTTTTTTGGGTCCGGTCGTGGGGCCTGAAGGCTGTCCTTCAGCTCTTCAGCTCAAGGCTAGCACTTACCACTTGAGCCACAGCACCACTTCCAGCTTTTTTCTTTTTGCTTATGGGTGCTGAGGAATCGAACCCAGGGCCTCAGATATGCAAGGCAAGCGCTCTGCCACTGAGCCACCTTCCCAGCCCCAAAAATACATTCTTATTAATGCGTTTTACTTGTTTCTTTTCCTCCCTTATCTTATTAATTTACATTAGCACTTCTTATTTGCTCTTTTATTTAAAAAAATTAGTTTAGTTTAGCACTTCTTACTAGTTTTCACTTCATACACATACCTAAGCAACCTAGAGCTAAGCCTTTCCCATCACAATGCTGATAAAACAAATTAGGAGACTTTAACTTAAGAAAAACAATGAGTGTTTAATTCATGAAAGAGTGGGTTTCCTGCCAACACAATGATCTCAAGTACTACTCTCTTAATGTCGGCCCATTCAGCACAGTCCTATTAATAAGCATTGTACCCAGAGGGGCAGGCATGATGTTGAATAGACCAGCCTCTATATACTGGTAACTAAACATGAGATCCACAGCATGACTTTCAGTCAGAGCTTAGGACAGGATCTTCTGGTGGCATTTCAATGGACAGGCAGTTACTTTTTTGCAGTCATTTTGCATTGACAGATTCCCGGTAAAAACAACGACTTGCTTCCTCCTTGTGTCCTATCCTAAGGACCAGGCCTAACGCAGGTGCTGATGGAGCTTACTCTCTTATTTCTCCACCTTTGTCAGGATGGTTAGAGAACCATCTGACACCTCTGTGTCAGAAACTGCTGAGCAGCTTCTCTGCCAAGTCTCTCCAGAAAGGATAGGGAGGCATGGAGGCCAGTGAGTAAGGACCCCAGGCTTGTTGAGATCGTAAACCGAGAAAGGCTGAGAAGAGTTGGACAAATTGATGAGCCCCACTGAACTTCAGTTTCTTTTCTTTTTTCTTTGGCCAGTCCTGGGGCTTGAACTCAGGGTCTAAGCACTGTCATTAAGCTTCTTTTTTACTCAAGGCTAGCACTCTACCACTTGAGCCATAGCACCACTTCTGGCTTTTTCTGTGTATGTGGTGCTGAGGAATCGAATCCAGGGTTTCATACATACTAGGCAACCACTAAGCCACATTCCCACCCCCTGAACTTCAGTTTCTATAAACTGGGATTTATTCATACTTTCTGAAGATGTTGTGAAAATTAAATAACAATATATAATAAATGCTGTCAGATATATATTAAGCAGCCCTTACTTAATAGTAATAGTTTACATGGCTTAAAGTGCTGAAGTCTATCAAACAACCAATGAACACAACATCACTACAGACAAAAGTAATCCAAATTTTTGAACACATGATTATATCTTAAGTTGGATCATTTTTAATATACAGTGGTGAGTCAAAACTGATTAATTTCTGCAAAGGTTCAATAGTCTAATATTAGTTCTAGACAGACCATTTTGATATTGACACAAATTTTCACTTCTGATAAGTATTCATTGACTGATGTGTATTTTATTTTTGCTCTGTTTTTTCATAATATATGAAAATCTAAGAGGGAAGAAACTAGTTACTCATTTATTTGCTTGTAGATAACCAATGCCAAAGACCTGACTTTCCAGGCTGTTACTGACTCTGAACTTGGGCTGTAAAATCAACACATGGTCACACATTTTTTTGATTTACTAATTTTCCACATAAAGACCAGAGAAAGGACAGCTTGCCACTTTTATAATCAAGGCTTCTCACCTCTTCTCCACTGTACTGCTTCAAACAGTGCAGAAACCGGCATGTGTTAGAGAGCCAGAAGGAGACAGTTTCAAAATCATCACCTCTTTTCTGAAAAAGAGAAAATGTCTAAATTTGCTTTTTCCTTAGAGAAATAACAACCTGGGGGGTGGGGAGGGTGGAAAACAACAAACCTTAAACACAAAGAGGCTCAGGGACAGCACCCAGGCCCTGAGTTCAAGCCTCAGCACCAGCAAAAAAAAAAAAAAAAATGTCTGGGATCATGGCCCCAAGTGGTAGCCCTGAATTCAAATAAGAAAGAAGAGGAGAGGAGAAAAAGAGAGAAACAGAAAGAGAGACAGACAGACAGACAGAGACAGAGACAGAGAGAGACACATGCAGCAAGAGAGAAAGGGAAAGAGAAAGAGAAGAGAAAGAAAGAGATGTGGGAGAGAGAAGAGACAGAGAGAAACAGACACAGACACAGAGAGACAGACACAGAGATATTAAAGTTTACCCATTTTCCCACACTAAATTGCCCCTTTATGTAGAAAAAGTTAAAAGCATAAATAGAATTATACATTTTGTAATAAACAACAGGACAAAGAATTTGAATCACTGAAACCCAGCTTGGATTTAAAATATCCACAACATAACATTTCTGAGCTGGGAGCCAGAGGTGGGTGGTGGGTGGCGCTCCTGTACTGGGCATGTGGGTAGGGCAGGGGTGGGGATTGCTCTGGGTGTGTGTGGGGGAACCTGGCTCTTTATCAGAATGGGCCACAGTGGGAGGGGAGGGACAGCTGTGCCTGAGGCATGGGGAGTGTTTCTCAGGGCTGAGGACAAATGTGTTTTCTTTCCACATGGAGCCCCATTAACATGAGACAATATTACTTCAAAATAAAAGATATTTATGAGTTGGATATTGTGAAGTATAACTATAATGCTAGTGCTCAGGAGGCTGAGGCAGGATGATTGTGAATTCTAGCCCAGTCTCGTCTAGTGAGACCCTATCTCAAAAACCAAAACAAGTAGCCAGGCACCAGTGGCTCATACCTGTAATCCTAGCTACACAGGAGACTGAGATCTGAGGATCACGGTTCAAAGCCAGCCCAGGCAGGAAATTCCAAGAGACTCTTATCTCCAGTAAACCACTAGAAAACCAGAAGTGGTGCCATGGCTCAAGCAGTAGAGTGCTCACCTTGAGCTGTAGAGTGAGCGCAGGGACAGAGCCCAAGCCCCTAGTTCAAGCCCCACAACCAGAAAACAAACAAACAAACAAGCAAAAAAACAAACCCAACCCTCCCTTGAGTAATCATAGTGGAAAGTAACTACACAGGAAACTGTCCAGCAGACATTGAGACTTGGCATGTGTTAGAAGTTCATGACAGGGGGTAGAGGGCTTCGGGGTGCAGAGTGTCAGGTGGGGAGGGGGAGATAGGTCTGCAGGTGGAGGTGGTGATGGCTGTGTAACACGGCAAAATACTTAATGCATGCAACTCCACACTTTATAAAAAGGCTCAAACGGTGAAGTTTATGTTATGTATATTTTATTATATAGTTTTTTAGGTTCATAAAAAGACATTTGGATTTGAGAGAGTCCACTGGGCATGTTAACTATGCACTCATCTTTACTGTATATATTCTCATTCAGAATAGATCATCAGGAATGTGGCTTAGTGGTAGCGTGCTTGCCTAGCATGCATTAAGCCCTGGGTTCAATTCCTCAGTACGGCATACACAGAAAGGCCAGAAGTGGTGCTGTGGCTCAAATGGTAGAGTGCTAGCCTTGGGCAAAAGAAGCTCAGTGCCCAGAAGGACAGTGCCCAGGCCCTGAGGTCAAGCCCCAGGACTGGCAAAAACAAAATGTTGTTCAGAATAGATCATCAGAAGGTCAAATACCAACGGCAGACAATGAGTTAAAACTAAGTATGATGTTAGCTGTTGGCTGTTTTTCCTGGAGCCTGGGGAAGATGGGACAGGGGGACTTGGTGACTCCTGTGCTGTGGGGAGCTTTCTGCTCAGTTATGTAATGCTGCTGGCTTTTCTGAGTGCTCTTTTCCCATGAGCACCTGAGTGTTGCTGCTCACATGGAAACAGCATTTCTGGGAACAGGAAAAATGATGAGACGACTTGGAGAATAACAAGAAAAAAATTGGAAGTGTGTTTTTTGTTGTTTTTCTTTTGAGATCTTCAGAGTGCTTTTTTTTTTTAATTTGGGAATTCAATCAAAGTACTGGACCATGTCATCTAAGCAACAATTTCAGTTGGAAGAAAACGTGGCAGTACCGGGGCTTGAATGCTAGACTTGCACTCACTCACCTGGCACTGTACCACTTGAGCCACTCCTTCAGTTCAGCAAAAAGCTGAACTGAACAATTTTTCATGGACAATAAGAATCTTTTTTTTTTTTGCTTATGGGTGCTGAGGAATCGCATGCAAGGCAAGCGCTTTACCACTGAGCCACCTTCCCAGCCCCAGCTCCCAGACAATAAGAATCTTATGGAGTTTTCTGCCTGGGCTAGCATCAAACTCTTTTTTTTTTTTTTTTTTTTGGTTCGGTCGTGGGGCCTGAACTCTGGGCCTGGGCGCTGTCCCTCAGCTCTTCAGCTCAAGGCTAGCGCTCTACCACTTGAGCCACAGCGCCACTTCTGGCTTTTTTCTTTTTGCTTATGTGGTGCTGAGGAATCGAACCCAGGGCCTCAGGCATGCAAGGCAAGCGCTCTGCCATTGAGCCACCTTCCCAGCCCTAGCATCAAACTCTTGATCCTGAGAGTGGCTAGGATTACAAGTGTGTGCCACCAATGACTAGCTAGAAAAAAAAACAAAAACCCTTTTTATATGAATGAGCCATGTATTATTGAGCTTAGCAGCCATTTTAAACATCAACATCATATAAACACACACACACACACACACACACACACATATATATACACATAGTACTAGCAAGTTTGCTCAAGTCTAGGGAATAATGAGGCCCTCTCTACAGACTGTGGAACTGACCTTCAACACTTTTTTGATGCTGTTGATTGTTGATGTGAGCAATGACCTCACTTTCTGATCATCGTTCAGGTAGTCGGCGTGTCGCACACACATGAACAAGATATACGCTGGCAGCCCTGGGATCAAGTTGACTGCTACACCACGTGGCTTCAGTTCTGTAAAAGCAAAGGAAAGACAAGGCTTTGTAAGACAGAAAGGCACAGTTGTCACCTAGCCGCTCAGTCATTCACAGTAAATCATGGAAGAAAGGGTATTTTAACAGCTTCTCTGGTGGAGGATACAGGGTGCTGGTTCTACATAACGTATAGAAAATTAAAATTTGTAGTTATGCGCTAGTGGCTCACATCTGTAATCCTAGCTACTGAGGAAGCTGAGATAGAAAGATTGTGGCTCAAAGCTAGTCTGGTTAGGAAAGTCTGTGAGATTCTTATCTCCAATGAACTACCAGAATACCAGAAGTGGAGCTGTGGCTTAAGTGGTAGAGCGTTACCCTTGAGTTCAAGCCCCAGGATTGACAACAAAAATAAGCAATCAAATAAATACACAAACAACATGGTTTTGTCCTGAGATTCCTTCAAGCAGCCTCTCCCTCCCTCATCTATAACATTCAACTCTAGACTAAGAAGTCCTTACCATGTTTTATGTGATCTCCCCTAGCCTCAGCTCTCTTGGTTCTAATGGGTCTTCTCGTAGTTGGCTGAACATACCTGGCATGCTCCTACCCAGGACCCCTGCATGCACTGTTTTTCTGCCTCTCTGTTCTTTCCTCAGCTATCAGTGCAACTAGTTCCCTTGCTTCTTTGCCCTCTGTCCAAAGCGATATGTCCGCCTTTCCTCTTTTGTTCTTGCTAAATAAAGATCACGTTGAACCTGCAGCATGTCTGTTCCGTACCCAGCACAGAGTTTAATGCCATGAACCGAGGCATGTTAAATTAGGCGTAATTGCCCATCACGATACTGTCATCTAGCACCTGGGGGGAGGAAAGGCGTGCAGAGGCTGAGGAGAGGCTTTTGGCTTGCAGCTTTCACGTGTTTGCACCTCTCCTCATTTATCACCCAGGAAAAGTCTCAGGAAGCCAGCAGTCCCCCCAACCCCCTCCACCGCAGGTCCCGCTATGATCTTCCTTATGCCCACTTGTCCCATCCATCCCTTCATTCACTGGAATTTCTCCCATAACTCCTTTCTTTCTTCCCTATTATCGACTATTGTTCACCATTCATCATAAACCTTTCTAAGGAAAGAAGGAAAGGCAGAAATCAGAAAGTAGGAACCTTAATGGTCTAGAGTGGTGGTTATATGTTAGAGTCCTTTTGAAAGGTTTCTAGAAAAGTCCTTGATAAGGCCAGGCCAGGCTGCTCTTTCTAGGGTTTGGTTTCTACTTGTCTTTTCAACAATTGTTGTCTTTTTCAAAATCTTTCTGGGTGAGTGAGCAGCATGGTTCAGAGGCACAGTGATTGTTATAAAAATAGAAATTAAACCAGCAATAAAAAAATCCAAACCCAGTAACTACCACAACAAGGCTTACTGGCCCCAAGCCTTTAATCCCAGCACGCAGGAAGCAGAGTCAAGAAGATTATAAATTCAAGGTGAGCTTGGATTATTACCTAGTAAGACCCTGTTTCAAAAAGACAACAAACAGTATCCCCTCCCTCAACTTTCCCCCATTCGCTGTCCTTAAAGGATGTTACCACACACTAATGCACAGTACATAATGATGACTGAAGCAATGCTAGGCGAGCATGGTAGCACAGACCTATAGTCTATGGCAGAGAGGGATGGATAATGTTAGCCTCGTGGTTGAAGACTAGCCTGGTCAATATAGTAAGATCCTCTTCTCAAAAATGAAAACAAATTTTTAAAAAGGAAAAAAAAAAAAAGGAAGACACTTGAGTGACTAAGTTTTTCCCACCATGGACACACAGACCAGAAAAGTATTTCATTCCATATAGAGAATACTTGCCGAGAATCAGGTTCTTAACCAGCTTCTGCTCGTCCTCCTTCTTGTACTCCAGCATTCCTTGGAAATCCTTTTCCTTCCTGGGAATGTTGACTGGACGAATGGGCTCATCGATGATCTGCCCAGGTGATATATTTTCCATCTGGCCCACTGCACGAGAAACAAAGGAGAGGAAGATGTTTTCCAGAGAGAAATGATGGACAGGGTTCCAAGCTCTGATCATTCTAAGGGAACTCTGCAACAACAGAAACTGGCCATAGAGGCTGGGAAGGTGGCTCAGTGGTAGAGCGCTTGCCTTGCATGCCTGAGGCCCTGGGTTCGATTCCTCAGCACCACATAAGCAAAAAGAAAAAAAGCCG